AGTTTAAAATAAGATATGGACAGCTGAAAAGAAGGCAAAATATTTTCTAAGGAGCTAAAGATATTTGTTTCTTCACTATATTAGATTTACTAATTATTGATTTCTGAGTATTTTTCAGTTTCATAATGTTACCACGGATTATAGGGATCCAGTTATATCAGGCTATCAGTTTTTACCACAGCATAATAAAAAATTGCTTACTATGTGCCTATGAGAGCATGTGACTACATAATTATTGACCAAAAGAAAATATAGTGTCTAAGAATTCTTTTGCAGATGTTGGTATATAACTTAAAGCTAACAAATGCACATAACTAGAAATGAGGTATTGCTAAATATCGTGTCTAAACTGAAGTGATGCCTATTACTTCATTCTGTGCAGTGGTTGAGGAATTTGGAAACTCTCTGCCACCTGCGTTTACTTGTAAGCTCTGCAATTACTTTCACATTCGGAAAGCATTATTTACAATATCTTTTAAAAAGAGACAATTAAAGGTGTGAAAAATAAGCAGGTGACTTTGATACCCAGACTTCTATCCTAATGAAGTTATAATCACTTCAAGAAATAATGGCACTGAGTAAACCTAGGAAGCTGGAGTAATAAGAATTGCTTTCACTTTTATTTTCTTGTGTGGGATGTGTGTGTGTGTGTGTGTGTGTGTGTGTGTGTGTGGAGGTATTATGTATTTTCTCTTGGGTATGAGCCCACATTTATATGAGAGTGAACATATATGTGTTCACAAACACTTGTAGTGGTAACAGTTTGAGAATTTCAGTTTTTCTCAAACTCTCTATACTTCTTGACTGAGAAGGGTCCCTTACTGACTGTATATCATTTTTATTAAGCTAGCAGGTCAGCTTGCACCAGGGGTCCCTTGCCTCTGCCTTGAAGAGCTAGCTTTAATGACGACCGCACCATGAGTTCTGGGCATCCAGACTGGTCTTTACTCTTGAAAAACAGGAGCTTTATTCACCAAAGAGCATTGTCAACTTCCAAGGATTTCTTTTTCTGATCACTTGAAATGTTGTGGATTTGTTTCTGCCACAATATATATTGCAATGGTGTCAACAGACACATTAATGTTGGAAGAAAAGGTTACAGGTGAATAGAAATAAAATACTGAAGCTATGATAGAACATTTTGTAAAAGAATTCATTTTTCATGCAGATAAAACATGTTGATCAGCCACATTCTCAAGATTATCAGTTTTTAATTGAAAAGTTACACAAAATTTATAAAGAAAAGGTATAAGCGTCTAAGTTCAAGCATTCATACCACAAGAAAATTTCTTTGGAGATAGTTACATGAAAGAGGCCCATAGTTGTTTTGCTATAGACTTGAAATACTGAAGAAACATGAAATTTTCACAAAATCATTGAGGTTTGTGAAAGGTACTTTTGTATCAGATACATCACAAGTGAAGCTGTTAAGTATATAAATTTTTTCATTTGTTGGGTAACATTTCAAACATAAATAATTAGTATACAGGCAGCAGAATGTGTGTATGCATGTGTTTGTGACTGTGCTTACGTTTGAGAGACAGTGTTAGACATGAATATAAATATGGCTATATAATATGAATGACATTCAATCTGGAGTTTAGACACCTGAAAACAAATCATTATAAGTATTTGGAATTGGAGAAAAAAAAGGATAAATTATTTTTCATATCCTTCATCTCGCATGTTCTCATCCTTAGAAGAAAGACCCTTTGCTTATTTGTAAATTGCTATTTATTTCTCTATTTTTGTCTAAAACTTTTGGTAGTTTTTGTTTTCCCAATGATTTTTTTTTTAATTTCTGAAGCTCTTTTTTATTTTTTCCTTTTTTATTATTTTTTTTTAATATTAATCACAGGTTATTTACTTGTATCCCAGCCATAGCCCCTTCCCTCCTTCCCTCTTAATCCCACCCTCCCTCCCTCACCTCGTCCCTGCCGCTTTCCAAGTCCACTGCTAAGGGCGGTCCTCCTCCCCTTCCATCTGACACTAGCTTATCAAGTCTCTTCAGGCCTGGCTGCAATGTCTTCTTCTGTGGCCTAGCAAGGCCCCTCCCTTGGAGGGGGTGTCGAAGAGCTCTCCGTTCATGTCAGGAATAAAGCTCTTTTTTTTTTTTTAATTAAACATTTTTTTAAATATTAGTTACAGTTTATTAACTTTGTATCCCAGCTGTATCCCGCTCCCTCATTCCCTCCCAATCCCACCCTCCTCTTGGCATTATGAAACCAAAACTAAGACAGAATATCTACTGAGCAGCAGAAGAGAGAGTCTTGGATGTTGATGATGACGACGATGACGATGATGATGATGATGATGATGATGATGATGACGACGATGACGATGACGATGATGAGAATTTCTGAGACAGAGTGTTCCAGGCTGTCTTGAGACTCTCTGTCATTGAGGATTAATTTCCCTGAGCACCTGGTCATCTGTTCCCTCCTTCAGACTTGCTGAGATTATAAGCATCCTCCACATGGTCATGCAGTTTTGATTTTAAGAGACAGGTTTTACTCTTCAGCTAAACTGGCTTGGAATTCACTATTGGCTAAGAATAAGCAAGGTTAGAGCCTAAACTGGCCAGTCAGCTTCTCAACATTTTTGAGGTAGAGAGGGTGAAAATTTAGAACTGAAGAAATGAGAAGGGATAGGTTGACAAATGGGAGAAATTTTCACATCTTTCCTATGACTGCACGAGGATTTTCCGAGAATTCCAAGTGTGCCATCTCTTTTTTATTTGTGTAATTTCTTTTAGTTACCACGATGGCAACTGTCAACTACTCAGGCACTTGAAGGTATACTAGTAAGCATGCAGGTGGGATTATAATGAAATTAGAGGTTCTCTGGCAGTCCCTCTGACAACTCTCTTAGATATAGCCAGTTTACTCAGATATGCAATGTTAGGACTAAGTAGAATTTATCCAGGTTATATAGGCACTACTCAGGGAAACAACAACAACAAAACTAAAAACAATTTTCTCATACCATTCTCTTGTACTATTTTTTCTACATTTTAGTGTGTGCAAGTAAAAATATGTATTTGAGTATAATGTGCAAGTGTATACATGAAGTGTACACACCTTTAGTATTTGATCTACACTAAAATAATAAAGCAAGCCAAAAAAATACAAAACAGAAACAAGAACGCAAGACCGCTACTGAAGCCTGACATACTATTTTATCGATGTTCGTTGCTACTGTAATGTGGTGAATCATGGTGTGCTTTACTGAGATTTCAAATCTTGCAGGGATCATCAAGACTGCCCTTCCAAACATGGATAGAGAGGCTAAAGACCAGTATTTGCTTGTCATTCAGGCAAAGGATATGGTTGGTCAAAATGGTGGCCTGTCTGGAACCACTTCAGTTACTGTGACCTTAACTGATGTCAATGATAACCCACCTCGCTTTCCAAGAAGTAAGTTATCCTATGTAACGGCTAACTATAGCAACATCTGCCTAAGAATTCTTTTCAAATATTTTAAACCCATAATTCTTGTTGTTTTGTCCTGATTTTGCACTTTTATCAAGGGCCCAAGTTAAGCTCTAGCTATGCAATACCCAGGCTAATACAGAGATGGTTCCACAGTTTCATACTTCTCTGTAAATCTAATTCAATTTGTCTTGAATTTTTACTTTGAACGCTAGGTAAGTGTTCATTGTAATTCTGTATCTATATTTATCAAAGTTTTAAAATTTATTTCTTTTTATAGCTGCTGCCTATTAAAGTCACTGCCTATCCCCTCTACACACAAAATGTTTTTTGCTTGTAAGGATTTAAAAGTAATCATTTACTTTTTTTTTCTTTTTTTTTTTTATTTTTCTTTTTAGTTACATTTTGTTAACTCTGTGTCCCAGCTGTATCCCGCTCCCTCATTCCCTCCCCAACCCCACACTCCCTCCCTGGTCTCCTCCCTGCCCCTTTCCAAGTCCACTGATAGGGGAGGACCTCCTCCCCTTTCATCTGACCCTGTTTTATCAGGTATCTTCAGGGCTGGCTGCAAAGTCCTCCTCTGTGGCCTAACAGACTGCTCCTCCCCTGGGGGGGGGGTGTCAAACAGCCTGCCCTTGAGATCCTGTTAGAAATAGTCCGTGTTCCCCTTACTTTGGAAAACTACTTGGTTACTGAGCTACCACAGGCCACATCCGAGCAGAAGTTCTAGGTTATATCCATAGATGGTCCTTGGTTGAGTGTCAGTCTCAGAAAAGACCCTGTGCCCAGATATATTTGGTCCTTGTAGAGCTCCTATCCTTTCCATATCATACTAACTTCCCTTCTTTCATATGATTCCCTGCACTCTGCCGAGGGTTTGGTTATGAGTCTTAGTGTCTGCTTTGAAACACTGCTAGGTAGAGTCTTTCAGATGCCTTTTGTGGTAGACTCCTGTCATAAGTTCAATGCACATCCCATTTGTCTTTCTAAATGAGGATTAATCACCTTCGCCTGTGTCCACTTTCTTGATTATCTTCTTTAGGTGTGTAGATTTCATTATGTTTATCATGTCTTGTAGGTCTATATAAGCGAGTATATACCAAGTTTGTCTTTCTCCTTCTGGGATACTTCACTCATAATGATCTTTTCATTTACTTTTAAAGTAATCTTTAATATAATTATTAACATAATTTTCTCCCCAAATTTATGAGATTCACCTCGCTATAATTATATGCTCATTTCATGCTTTTTTAACCAGGTCATACACACTGAACATTCCTTTTACATTTGTACCACATTTCTCTCATTTAAAAATTAAATGTCTAAAAATGCAATCTACAATAACAGGAGTCCACACTTTCAGATGAGCTTCTGCACAAAGTGGCTTTGGCTTATCTAGAAGCAATGAAAAAAAAAAAACATCAAAACAAAACAAAACAGAACAAAATAAAACTGTGTTCTCAAGGTAGCTTTGTCTGGTTGATAAAATCATTTTAACTAACACCTTTTAGTCTCCATGTTTCTTTCTTTTTTTTTAGCATGTGGGATATTTTTTATAGGTTAAAAATAATTTTCCATTTTCTTCCTTCCTTTCTTGCTCTATCACTTTTTTGTCTTTCTTCCTCTCTCTCTCTTTCTCTCTCTCAGAACTGCATCACTTATATGATGTGCCTTGATGATAAGATTTTCTCCATTTTCACCTAATCTTATTTCCTTCCTCCTTCCTCAGAAACACATTCTTCATCATTTTTTTTTTTTGGTTTGTTTGTTTGTGGCCCACTACATTTACTTTGTATTGCCTGAATGAGCATGGCTGTAAGGGAAAAAATTAATCGTACAAGGTCATTTTGCTGGTGGTTACTTTAAAAAAGAGGATTCTGGGTAGCCAGCGATCCTTAACTACCTTTAGCTTGAAACTTACAGGCTATGCAATATCTCTCAAACAGTTCTCCAGTAGAAAGAGGGAACTCAATTCCAATCAAGAAAGAGAAGCTAATAATATAAAACAACCGTGTGAGCTCCTGTGCAAACTCTTATTCTTTTTTCATTCAAACAATGTATGCTTATGTATTTTAGACGTTTTAATGTCTGTTTTATTTTATAAGAAACATGGTGGTACTTCCAGAGAACATGGATAAAGACCCCGTGTTTTGCATTAAAAAAAAATTAAACAAAACATTTATTTGGGTCTTTGACAATTTATCATGAGAAAGAGGAAAGGGTTTTAGAAAAGAATGCAATTGTTATATTAGTTTCCTTTCAAATAAACTGCTTTTCTCTAAAGCTGGTAGAGATATAATAATGCCAATTTTAGTTTCTGTATTGCTCACACTTCTGTATTGCTCTCTGACATGGAACCCAGGTTTTTCAGTTTTTATTTCCCTTTCCTAGATTCTAAAGTGAAGAAACAGAAATTCATGTCATTTTATTTTTGTTTTTCATTTTTAATTAGATTTTCTCTACAAATCACTCATTATAGGACCCTGGAAATCTTTGGGTTTACTAAGGACATCTCTGTGTGTGCAAGGGACCCATTAAAATGTTGCACTAAGGACATCTCTGTGTGTGCAAGGAACCCATTCAAATGTTGCACTAAGGACATCTCTGTGTGTGCAAGGAGCCCATTCAAATGTTGCACATATATTGCAATCATTTAAAAAAATCAATATTCAGTCATCAAAAGTCACAGTCCAAAATGATAGTGTCCCCTGCATTACTCTCAAATGCAGTTTGGTCCCCTTTAAATGGGAAACTTTAAGTGCATCATGGATTTATAACCAATAGATTATGAAGTTAATGTCCAAGGGTCAAGAAAAATAAATGACTGGAAGAAAATTGTCAAGGAACATATTCCCCAGAGACAGTCCGTCTTTTTTCCAAATACGCCTCTCAAAACTTATTTTTTTTAAGTCTGAAAAAAAAAAGATAAAAGGACTATTAAAGCCATGAAATAAAAGTTTTGTTGGTCATGTCTCTCTTTCTTTTCTTCTTCCCCTTTAAAATAATATTAGTTAGTATGATGTGGAAAGGATAGGAGCTCCACAAGGACTAAATATATCTGGGCACAGGGGTCTTTTCTGAGACTGACATTCCACCAAGGACCATGTATGGATATAACCTAGAACCTTTGCTCGGATGTAGCCCATGGTAGATCAGTAACCAATTGGTTTCCCATAGTAAGGGGAACAAGGACTATTTCTAACAGGAACTCAATGACTGGCTCTTTGGCCTCCCCACCCCCCAAGGAAGGAGCAGTCCTGCTAGGCCACAGAGGAGGACTTTGCAGCCAGTCCTGAAGATACCTGATAAAACAGGGTCAGATGAATGGGGAGGAATCCCCTATCAGTGGACTTGGCAAGGGACAGGGAGGAGATGAGGGGGGGGGTGGGATTGGGAGGGAATAAGGGAGTCAATAAAATGTAACTAATAATAAAATAATAATAATAAATAAATTAAATTTAAAAATAAAATAATATAACTTATTCTTTTGCGGTGTTTTGTCGTAAAACATGGCTACAGAAATTACAGATTTAATTCTTTTCTCTAAAAGAATTTTACCACTATAAAAGTAAACTTACATTGCCATCCTCACAACTTCTTGTGCAATTGTGTGGAAATATCTTGGTAGAATATGCTAAGTAAATTCCAATATTAACTTATCAGCAATATTAGTATGCACTTGGAAAATTGCAGTGGAGCTGTTTTATTTTCTACTATTATGGTGGTGATTATTATATGTAAATTATGACATATTTAGTAATTACACTTTAATTATTAGTTCAGTTTCATTACTCAGGGAAGCATATTTCTCACAGTAGATAGATATACAGCAATCAGGATTTTAACCTGTCTTCAGGCAGGGTGTTTTGTCACTTGTTATTGCTGTAACATCAACTTCAAAATTCTTGAGGCTTCACAGAAATTATCATTTGTTTTATGCTGTCATGGCCTTTTTTATTGGGAAAACAAAACAATAATATGTAATAAACATAGTAGTTCCTAGTAGAAGGTGGTTAGAAGGTTCTTTTGTCCTTTATTTTTTACAGGATTTTTGTCCTAATTTTACAGGATCTTACCAGTATAATGTTCCAGAATCTTTGCCTGTGACGTCAGTTGTGGCCAGAATAAAAGCTGCCGATGCAGATATAGGAGTTAATGCAGAAATGGAGTACAAAATAGTTGATGGTGATGGACTGGGGATTTTCATGATAGATGCTGACGAGGACACACAGGAAGGAATCATTACAATACAAAAGGTAATTTTATTTTTGTTATTTTTATTCTACAAGGGTGGCCTACCTTGATATAAGAATGTGCCAGAGGTACTGAATGTCGTATAGAACCATTGTTATTTTAATATCTTCTCAGATAAACTGTATATTTGTATGTAGGTCTCAAAATCTTGTGGAAATTTGAAAGGGATTTTTAATATTATCTGTTAATTCTATTTTCTGAGTAAAAACATTGCAGTTATCTATAGCAATGTGCTGATCATACCACTGTTAAATGGGTGCATTTGAATAGCCACAGAGATAAATGTTTTTCTTAAATATTCCATTAATGAAGCCTTAATTCAACCCTAAGTCTTTATATGCAAGACACTGACTTTGTGTAGGTAATATTAACCTTACTTTCTCTTCAATATTGATGTGTGAACTTTAGGAAGCCTTAGTAAAAGAAAAATGTACATAATTAATTGCAAAATATTTTTTTAATTTTAATTTTTATGTTACATACAGTTTATTCACTTTGTATCCCAGCTGTAACCCCCTCCCTCATTCTCTCCCAATCCCAACTTCTCTCTCTCTTCTCAACCCATGCTTCTGCCCCAGTCCACTGATAGGGGAGGTCCTCCTCCCTTTCCCTCTGACCCTAGCCTATCAAGTCTCATCAGTACTGGCTGCATTGCCTTCCTCTGTGGCCTGGTAAGGCTGTTCCCCCCTCAGGGGGAGATGATTAAAGAGCCAACCACTGAGTTCATGTCAGAGCCAGTCCCTGTTCCCTTACTAGGACACCCACTTGGAGACTGAGCTGCCATGGGTAGCTCATCTTTGCAGTTTTTCTAAGTTATCACCATGCAAGCATCTTGGTTGGAGTATCAGTCTCCGAAAGAAGGTAGTATAACATTTCAAATACTCGAAATGTTAAAAATTTTGATATCTACAACCTTCCACAAATTAGGATGTTTGCTACGCTGAAAATCCAGGTGGAAAACTCTGTAATTAACATTCACTGATAATTAACACACCAATAAAGAAAGCTATAGTTTAATTATTTTATTAAGACATATGTTTGATTTCAGGCCAATGGGCAAAACATGTCTTCAATTATTTTCAGTGGACAGCTGTTGTTTTAGCTCAGCTGGTAACAATCTTTATGCAAAAGTTTTAATAAGTAGGACAGGCCAACTGTTTGTAAAATGTTTTGTTTTGTTGTCTAAAATAAAAGAAAGGCAATAATGTATATACTTTTGCTCAAAGATTTCAAAGAAGTTACAAAATCAATATGGTTATATTCAAGAATTTGAAAACATACTGAAAATATTTTTATTCATCATATTAACATATTTTATAGATCTTAATAGGCATGCTATGAATAATTGAAATTTTAATTGGCAGAAGATGCTTAATAATAAAAAGTTAAAATTTATCTTTAATTTTTATTTATTTTAAATTTCATTTTTAATATACATATATCTAGATATATATCTATATACATATATTTATATTTATATATTTATATATATATATTTAATATACATATATCTAGATATATGTATGTATATGTCCATGTATGCTGGCAGGGGTATGACCATTTGTGGGGTCCTTCCATGGTAATATGTGGAGATTAGAGGTAACTTTCAAGATTAGTTTTCTCCTTCCACTATGCAAAATGAAACCCTGTTCCTCAGGTTTGGCATTAGGAGCCTTCACCCTGTGAACAATCTGGTTAGTTGGAATTCTCAGGAGCCTACCACAGAGAGCCTCTGAAAGGCTCTACCCTGCAGGCTATTGAGGCAGAGGCTGAGATGCATAGCCAAACTTAGGGCAGAGTGCAGGGAATCTTATGAAAGAAGTGGGAGATAGTAAGACCCAGAGAGGACAGGAGCTCCACAAGGAGAGCAACAGATCCAAAAAGTCTGGGCACAGGGGTCTTTTCTGGGGCTGATACTCCCTCCAAGGACCATTCATGGAGATGGCCTGGAACCCCTGCATAGAGGTAGCCAATGGCAGTTCAGTATCCAAGGGGCCTCCATAGTAACGGGGACAGGGACTGTCTCTGACAGGAATAGATTGACCTGCTCTTTGATCACCTCCCGCTGAGGAGGGAGCAGCCTTACCAGGCCACAGAGGAAGAAAATGCAGCCAGTCCTGATGACACCTGTTAGACTAGGATCAGAGGAAAAGATGAAGGATCTCCCTTATCAGTGGACTGGGAGAGGGAGAGGGGTTGGGAAGAGGAAGGATGGGGTTGGGAGGGGAGAAGGGAGGGAGGTACATGGGAAATACAAAGTGAGTAAACTGTAATTAATAAAAATAAAAATAATTAAATAATAATAATAATAATAATAAAAGAAAAAGTCATATGGCTTTAAAAGAAACTTAAAGTATTATATTTCAAAAAAATTGTCAATTTTGAAATATTAAAATAATTTCTATACCTTTTAAAAATATTAAAAAAATGAATCATAAGAGAACTAGGTGCAAACCATGTCACATTCAAACATTAAGTCAGTGAAATTACCTCAAAGGGAAATGCAGTTCTAACAAAGACACATATATATATATGGTACAACAAATAAAGTTTCATTATTGGTGGCTGCCAATATCTGTCAGGAACAATTTAACCTTATATTTTCTTTCTCGATCCTGGCCTCAACATCATGAAGGCAGTATTTATTGGATCTAAATTTTGAGAAAATTATTAAATATCTAACAGTGGGAGAAGTGGTTAATTAACTCATACAGTAGGAAATTTCAAAACAGTGACATTATGATAATTCTTTACCATATTAAGCAGTTTTAAAATCTCTAATTTTTTAAAAAACATCATTTAAGTTTTTTCAAACCCTGATATAATTTTATGACAATTATATTTAAATAGAAATTAAAGCTTATGAAATAATTGTCAAAGAATTAATGCATTCTATGCTGCTTTAGTGTAGTCGGAAAGATTCTGAAATATATAAATGTACTTTATATAAATGCTCTTAAATATATAAATGCTCTTTTGCTTAGAAAAGGAAGTCATAAATACAGAAATAGCTTATAAAAATTTTGTTTATTGCTTTTTTATCTTATTACATTGGTAGAACAAGGTACGAAAAGAAAAAAAATGCATTCCATCTATCTAATAAATTAAAAATTAAATGTTTTATTTTATAAAATCTATAAATTTGTGAGAATTATATGTAGACTCTCCATCACTCGCTCTAACATCTCACACTCTACAAACACCATAATATCTGTGAAACTCTGACAACCAGACTGACCGTCAAAACCAGATGTGTTAAGCCAATGACATCTATCTTCTTTATTTTACAAGAGATTTTTATTTTACTTAATTTTTTCTGTGTTTTTTAAAATTAATTACTTTATCTATTTTACATATCAATCTCAGCCCCCACCCTCCACACCACCAAGTCCCAGCCTCCCATCCTCTTCCCTCTTTCCCTCTTTCCTCCTTTCCTTCTCAGAAAAGAGGAGCTGCTGCAATAAACCCACCCAGGCACATCAAGTTGCATCAGGACTAGGACTAAACACATCCTCTTCCACTGAGGCCAGACAAGGCAGCCCCGTTAGAAGAAAGTGATCCACTCAAGTTAGTTGTGCTCAAGTATTCTCAGAGTTCAAATTTTCTGTTCTTAGATTTCCTCAGTCTGGGCTAACATCAAATTGTAAAACTAAAATGAAGGTTTTCATTTTCATTATGTTGCCAAAACTTCAGTGAACCAAGGCCGATATTACTACTACCAAAAATCATATCCAGAGACCCTGAACAGCCTATGGAATTATCAAGACAGTGAATGGCTCACCTAATTCCTGTGCTTTCCTGTACCAAACCTCACGACCTTGTCTGTGAAATCTGTAAAGCCTGTTCATGTTCTGAATATAACTAAGGAATTCTGAAATGAAAACATCATTTAAGTTTTTTCAAACCCTGATATAATAGTGAAATGAAAACACTGAAGTCTTCTTTATCCTCTCTGTGAATACCTTAAAAATTGCCGAGATAAACAATGAACACTATGGACAGTTCCCCTGAATAATCCACTTCTGAGTAGATTTTTTTCAGTTCCTCCTAGACACTGTAAAACATTTACAACAGGACTGGCAATTCACTGCAAAATTTCAGATAAAGAAATGCATTTATTTCTTTTGCTCATTTCAAATATGCAAGTATTATCTCACATTTTGGTACCAGTGTTTCAGTGTCTGTTTAGTTATTGTAGTTTTTTTTTTTAATATAAATTTTATCTGGAGTATATTCTTGATGATCGTCTGAACTTATGTTTCTCTGCTTCATAATTGAACTTTACTTTATATCCTTTCCATAAACTGTTTAGCTACCTACAGCAAAGTTTATTGCAGTTTGAGCAATCTGTTGCCTCATGTTTTACATTTGTATATTTCATAGTTAACATATAGTGAACTTAGAGACAATGAGAAACAGGAAAGTAGTGCATTTATAAATTGTTAGAGATAACTGTGAAAGACTTCCTTCAATTATTGCATGAATGTCCTTACAGAAAGTGCCTAATAGACTGGCAGCACAGCATCCTTAAAGCTCCATTTCTGTTTAAGTACTTGCCATATTTCCATAATTTAATCACAGCTTTTGTGCATTTTGAGTGGTATGATTGCATAGTAGAAAGATGAAAAATGTTGATGAAGTAGGCGTCAGACAGATGAAGGTGTAGGCTAATCTGTGGCCATCAGTGAAAAGTTTTACAAAGTTGTTTATAGAGAGTCATATAGGGATTTGGAATTCACAGAGGGTAAATATGAAGATTATCCCATCCGAGTAAAAATAGAGTTTTTCACTCTACCTGAGTACTTTTCTTTTCCATAATATACAATGTGAGGCCTTCAATCTTTTATGTTTTTCCTTTGAGATATGGCAATCTTTCTTTAGCATACTTCAGTTTTTAATATAAAACTTCAGCTGGGATTAAATATAGAATTTTTATTTTATAAAATGTATTGTTATAGAGCTATGGTGAAGTAAAAAAAAATGTGTGATTTCAAAAGTGCAT